TAAAGAAGACATTCACGCATCAATGCAACACAATAAAGAAACCATGAAATACAAAATAATGAAAGTAATTAAATGCACAATGTATGTTAAGTAACATAGTCCATATTGTCAGCTGACCATCATTGCGATATCCCGGTTTACTGTTTCAGTGTGCGCAATGATTCCATGTTGTCAATCTTTTCCTCCACAACTACCCAGACAAATATATGTGATTATTTGACATTCTCGTGACTTGATGGTGTTTCTGACACCTGTCTGTGTTTAAATCCAGGTTTGTGATGTGCTGATCACGTCTGGGGGGTTAGGAGGTTGCCTGTCACATCTTAATACCTTGTGTTGCTGGTGAAAGAGAGGAAGAGTCAGGGAAAATGTTGTTGTAGAGAGCTCTGATTGGAATCCTGTCTTGGCTAATAGCAGGATTATGTCTGAGTCCCACTAAGCCTTCACTGCCGGGTTTTTATACAGTTATATCCGGGGTATCTCCAGGGTTTTGTTATGAGAGTGCGGTTATGGGATGTGTGGAGGTATACATTGTGTGGTGGAGAAACAAGAAAGGGAAAAAACACCCAATGCTAAAAATGGTCAGATAATTTTTGCACATAACAATCATAGCAAAAAGATCTTCTATTGTTTATCGCCTGTGTAGATTTTTCACTCATGAATAAACCCAGTGATTTGCAAGGTGCCAAAGTTAATCTGCTTTGCATAAATAAATTGGTAAGCAGCATCTGTTCCTTATACAAGCTTGAAATTGAAGTCAGGAAATCAGAAAATTACCCAATTATTCATACACTGGCATCAAACCTGTACATGTAAATGAAACTATAAAAAAACGGGCACTTTCTTTTCAGGCAAATGAGACGCGAGGTGCCGAGGTGTCATGGTCGTGATAGTTTGAAGCAACCTGTGATTACACAGGCAATCAGTGATGTTAGGAACCAATTCAAATACAGGCAAAGCTCTGTGGAAATAAACGGCAGAGGAAAAGTGGGGTCTGAGTGTCTGGTCGCATGAGGAGGTTGGGATTGAAGGTTGAATGTTGAATGAAGATCATATACTCAATATGGCTCAGATATGACTCACTCTGTTCACCCTGCTAATGTTTTTAGCCATGCTGTCTGCTGGCTGCTGTGAGACGGGCTGTCAGTCGCTCCACCACTTTTGACCCAAATATGTATGAACTTTGAAGACCCTTTAAAAGAAGATTTCTCAACAACTGTTCAAAGGTGTTTGATGTATCTTTACCAATTAGAAAACAATGTAGTTGCTTTCACTTTCCTTTCATCTCGCGCCTCCATTGGGTCTGAATTTCAGGTTACCCCAGGAGGAGCTGGAAAACGTTGCTGGGGAGAGGGAAGCCTGGGTTGATTTACCGCGCCTGCTACCACCGCGACCCGTCCTCGGATAAGCGGGAGACAATGGATGGATGGATGGATGGATGACAGAATTTTTCAAATACAATGACTGCCACAATAATTTTATGCAAATCTTGCGAGTTAGCAGATTTTTTCCTCCACTTGTGAAATGAACATGTGTTTGCTGTACTTGTTGTACAAGAGCAATGTAAAATGTATAGAAACGTCTGTTACTGAGGGACAAAAGGACATTAAAACCACACAAACCAACTTCCTTTCAATGAAAACATGATTGGGACTTTGTCATAGTTAATATTTCATATCAGTGACACACAACTAAGAATCGCACACCACCATGTGTAGGTGGATGTCCTTGATCTCTTAGTCAGCTAACAGGGGAAATTCAGTTCAGAGTGGGTTGTGCAATTAAGGAGTTAATGTAGTGGTACCAATCGGGAGGCCATAGAAATAGATTCCCAGCTGACTCCCACAACCTTCACTCCTGTCCAGCTGTTTTACTGGAACCACCATCCATCACCAGCCCTTCTTAAAGTCTGAGATTGCGTGAACATAAAATGTCTATGCGGTAGTTTTCCAAGTGAGCAGCTACTGAGTCTGTCCTTTGTATCTGTGCGTTTTCCAGGTGACACATCTCATCTCATCACAACTGTGACTCATCTTCCCTGGGAGGGGTCCAAGGTTTTGGGGGCACTAACACAAGCACATGTGAACATGCCAATAAACCCGACAACTTGCAATTACTGTGAACATGCTTGAATGCACAAACACTCACCGAAGGTGCTTACTCCCACTAGGGGCACCAGACTGGCAAAGGATGCTAAATGGTTTAAGGGGGGGAAGGGCCCTAAAACATGCCAGAGGTTCTACTTTTATAGGACCCTCGGGTCATTTTCACATGGCCCAGAAACAACAACCCTGCTCACACATGCAAAAACACACTTTTTGCTGGCATATCACATCATGCCAACAAGCTGTGTAAAGTGCATCCTTTCGAATGACTGCGGCGCGTTAATCCAGTGCAGGTGCACTCATGATTAACTGACTGGGGATTATGAGCGGGAGCGGAACAATCAAGTAAAGAAAGGTCACATCACGGTTGGGAACAAGGATCCGGTCCCCGGCACTCAACTGGAGCTTTTCCTGAGTCTGAATTTTGTTCTGGTGTGGGCTGGTGGCCCCCGCAGGCTGCCTTAAATGGGTCGGTGTGAGCCTGCAGAGCGCTAGAATCATCCCTGAGACCTGCAGCAGAACAGTAAGTCATCTAGCGACTAATTATTTTATCTTACGTAAATGATGTGTTAAATTTGGCATTTGCAGTCATGGTAATGTGCTCCCTAGACTTTAAAATGTGCTGGGATTAAGTCGGGTTCGTTATGTGTGAATATGAATGTGCATTTAGTGCAGAAGCTGCCTGAATGTGGTGAATGAAATGTGAAATAGAGGGAAAGATTTGTAGCTTCGTGGACAGCTTCTTGCTAGTCAGCTGTCATTTATGGTGTGTATTGATTTGGAACAATGAGAACGTGGTCTTGCTATTTGTCAGCCTCTCTCTGCATGTTTTAACTCTCTCTAATATATTTAAAATGTTTGATTTTTATCTATTTCTTACCTTTAAATTGGGTACCTTCCAGGTTAAAAATGAGAGAAGCAGCCTTAAAATTGCACATGTTCCGAGATGAATTGAAAACGATCATTTTCGTCGTTAAGTTGCCAAAGCGCTCACATGAAACATCAGCCAAGGGCCTCATGCATTCAGATACTTGATGCATCTCTCCTATGATCATAACTTAAAGCATTAGTGCAGTGGGCTGAACTAAAGGTTCAGGCGACTGACACACTCTTCATCAGATTCAGAGAAATGCTCGCTGCTGCCCACTAAACACTGAGACTGAGAGGGGGTGGAAATATATGGTTCAGCATTTCCCCCTCACAAGAACAGCACAGTAATCAATTCCGTTTAGTACAAATCCAATGCACTTAAACTTCCAGCGTGAATAACCAGAGGCTGCAGAGCAGAGGTACATTTATCGATAAAGCAATTAATTCACCCCCCCCCCCCCCCCCCCCCCCCCCCGCACCCCTCCCCCATTCATTCACACAGGGCAGTTGCTACGTCAACCCCAATCCTCAGCAAAGGACATCCAGCATTTTTTTTTTTCTCTCAAATGAGTTGTCATGCATTGCAAATGAGCTCGTTATCAGGAAAGAACTTGAAGCGAGCCTTAAATCCAAAACTAGAGCTTCAGGAACTTCTATTATAACCTAACTTATGGCGTCACAAAGCAAAAACAAGGGTTGGGCTGATCATTGTTAAAATGTCATTTTATTTTATCAGTAAAAGTAAACCTTGCGTGATTTTTGTGACTGAGTGAACGAACAGCAAACGGCAGTTACCGGTGAAATAATCGTTAACATTAGCGCAAAGGACTTCCACGTCCTTTGTGTGAATGGTTAAAGTGGAAACGTCTTTAAAAGTAGAGCCAGTTTGTTTGTTACAGTGTGTCAACCAAACATTTCAACTTGGACCCTCCTCGTGCACACTCAAGGCAGTGTGTACACTAGCACAAGCTAACTAGCTGTGTTTGGCACCTGTCCGTCCAACTCTGCATCAGCAGGTGAAAGCCAACCCAACGTTCACCCTCATTTTGGAGATTTATTAGCGTGGCGTCTTCCCTCACTGTGATTATATTTCCTCTTCTTTTTCCGCTACGTCCACGTCCGACATAATTGCCAGTTTGAATCGAGTCCACTTGCTGAATTGTATCCACTCCCAAACTCACCTGCGTGCTGTCATTGGCTGTGGGGGGGAAAACACACAAGTTCCCTACCCAGAAACGTCCACCAAAACAAACCATCAAAATCCAGGCAGAGGACAAGATCTCTGCAAACTAAACCACTACCACAAATGCATGGAGGCCTACATGATGATTGAGTAGCACTTTCGTTGAAGTCTAGCCAATAATTTTGCCTTTTAGGAAAAAAGTAACTGACTCTACATTTAACACACATCCCTGCTGACTTTGCTGTCCAGTGCAATAAACAGAGTGACACAGTGAGCACCAGTTTGCCTAACTGAGGAAAGAGAGAGAGAGAGAGAGAGAGAGAGAGAGACGGGGAGAAATACAGAAAGAGCTCCTCCAGTCACCTCCGTCAAGTTTCACTGAAAAAGACAGAGAAAGCTGGAATTGGATAATTATCTTTCAAAGTAAAAGCGCTACACTTGGGACAAACTAGGTGAGTAGCCCACAAGGTAATAGTAAAAAAAAAAAAATTCGTTAAGCTTAATATATCTATTTGATGGAAAAGTAAGAGCTTTTTTCACTTTCAACTTTCCGCAGCCTGTTATGTTGAGGACGTAGCATCCTTTAGCCTGAGTGAGTGTTTTAGTTTGAAAATACCAGCCGGTAGTGGTGTTATAATTCCCCCCCCCCCAGCTTCACACGCTCTCCATCTCTCAGAGCTCAGTCGGCTCGCAGAGACAGCGGGATGCCGAGGGGAGCACTCCGACACACGGCGTCCGTTTTACCGTCTCCCGGTGTCGCCTGTCAGCCACGGCGACTCTGATGGGCGTTTTTATCTTCCGCTTACCGTCCTCGACGCTTGGATATTTTCGAAAGCCTCGAAATGAAGCGAATGAATGTGAGCAACAAGAAAGTGTCCTGTTGTTGTGCCTGTCTCCAGCATCACTAGTAGCCAAGTCCTCTCTGTGGATGCGCCGCCTCACTGGTTGTTTAGTTGTCTTGTTATCAGAGGATTTGATTTAGTATTCTTTAGTGGACTACCCAACTTTGCCCTGCCGTTTGTTGTCTTTTTCCTTAGTTTTTCCGGCTTTGAAACAAAGATTTCAGGAACTCCGGAAAACCAGCGACTTTGACACCAGCTCCAGGCGGAATAACCTTTCTTAGCGGTTATTCGCCTTTACAAGCATCTTCTCCTGGGTGGGAAAACGACTGATGCTTGCCTTGCCCGTCTATCCGAGTTTCGTGTCGTCTCGTTGTGTTGTGTCTGTTTTGTCCCTCAGTGGCATGAAAATTCACGAATGCGTCCAAGGACATGCACTATACAAATTACGCATGCACCATGACGGTAGTAGGCTGTGCGTAATATCCTATTAATATATCCCTACATTACGAATGCAATGACAAACACGTTCAATATCTCATTCTTGTGTTTGGAGAAGGTTGTGTTGATCCATTCTAACTTGATTGGTGTTTGAATGTGTAACATGGGCGTTATGAGAATGGCAAAGTGGACTCGTGTCACTCTTATTGTAATTATTGTAATTCCTACAACTGGATAAATGTAGGCTATGTTGTAAAAATGAACCTAATGCCGTTTTTAAAGTCACCTTGTGCCGGAAAATGAAATTTCAGCATTTGGAGAAATGGCTGGGGTTCAGTTGTCATTTTGTCCGCAGGGACAAAGTCAGTGCCAGAAATGTGCCCAAAGTTTGCATTAAATTAAAAGCCTTCATGCCTTTGCCTCATTTAACGCGCCATGTGTGTGTGTGTGTGTGTGTGGATGAATCAGGGGAATCTGCGCGCAAGCATGCACTGTCTGTTCCTGTGCCTGCATGTGCGCCCCTGGCCGCGTTAACATTACCCCTACTCTCTGCCTTTCCTGTGTGTCTGTGTGTGTGTGTGTTTGTGCGGATTTGCTTGCGTACAGCCACGCTGGAAGTCGCCCCCCATGTGGCCGTCGGGAGTGGGGAGCAGGCAGCCCTGCCCGCGGGAGTCAGCGCTGCGCAGGGCGGCCATCAGCGGCAACATCAACGCGCTGCCGGCGAACGGCGTCCCCACCGGCCGCAGCGTCCGGGTCTTCATCTGTGCCAACCCCGACGGTAAGAACGAAGTATCCCTCCCCCTTACTCTCTCCCCCCATTCTACACACTTTCTACAAGCCTGCAGACCCTCAGATATAGTAGCTACACTCATTTTCTGTCTGTCAGAATAGAACATACTGTATCCATAACAATTTGGCTTTTCTTGCAGTGTTTTAAGCTGACCCTTGTATTAGATTTTGGCATCTCCTCAAGAAAGAACAAGCATGTCATCTTTTGATCCAGCATTGATGATGGCCCATTTTAAAGACATAAGTAAAGTCGTTAGGTAGTAGAAGAATGTCCCTGCTTTTCATCTTCTTTGACTTCATTACAGGCTTCAAATAACGTCCTTCTTGCCATGACATTCAGCCACTTAAAGCATGTTATCCCCTCATTCTGTATCGATCTACTGTAAACAAAAAGTAAGTGGCATTTAAAAAAAATCCACTTTGGCTTATCAAACGGCTGAGAAATATCTCCGAGTTGGATCAAACGGGGTCACTGACATGTTGATAAAAATAAGAGAAGTGTTGCGTGATTTACTCTTACTAACGCACTCAAACAACAGATTGGTTTTTTGACACTGAGTGCATGGTGTGAGCATGAGTGTGAGACAGTCGGGTCGTTGAGGGAGACACCCAGTTGCAGCTCTGTATTTGAATATGCCCTCTGGGTGAGGGGGTAAAAATAGGCTCAGTAAAAGTGGAGTAAACATGGCAAAGGAAGTAGAGTAGGCTATGACAGGGTGAGAGAGAAGGAGGGCATGCGAGGATTAAAATAAGGGGAAGTTTCTTTTGCTCTCTTGCTCTATAGCTGCATGAGATTGCTGTGGATGCCTAGAATGAATCAACCTCGTATTATCGCCCCGTTATTACTCTGTACGGTAAAAAGAAGTCTGGCATTGTTAATGCACCTGTAGCTGACTCAGTCATTCACGTCATCCCGTAACAGCAGGAATTTAACGCTCCGATGTACTCACAGACCGGAAAAAAAATGATGAGGCGGGCACTTCCGAGAAGCTCTTTCACACCGTTGGCACAAATGGTAAAAGTACATCAACGCTGTGAACAGGGCTAATTGTGAGGCGCTGTTTCCAGTGAAGTGAGGTTAACGCCTGGGTAAAAGGGGGTGAAGCTTAATGTCGAATGGCCTCTCTTGGTAATGAAGCTTTACGAGGATAGAAACACTGTTTGGAACTGCGTTTCCACCACTTAAAAAAACAACACAGGAACTTTTGGTCCCAGGAGCTTCACATGGAACTTTAAGGTTCCTCCAACTCATTGTTGCTTGTTTTACCACCTTAATTTAAAGACCCATAGAGACCAAAAGTTTTTATTTAACCTGTTCTACAATTCACTTAGCAGACGCTTTTATCCAAAGTACATCCGAGAGTGAGTACAACACTAATCCATTCATACACCGCCACCGAAGCAGCAGGAACAATGCAGGGTTAAGTGTCTTGCCCAAGGACACATCGAACCCTCAGTTGAGAGGCGGCGACTCTACCAACTGAGCCACAGCCGCCATGTTTTCGGACATTGTTTTTCAGGTTGGACTGAAGTTCTCTTTCTTGTAGTACCATGTCACCTGCCACCCACCTTTGGGTGGTTTGACCCAAAAGGTGGGTGGGCGTTTCTATTTTATTATTTAAAGACTGACTTGTGTAAAAATTTAAATCAGGCTGTTTCAACACATCATGACAGTCGGACCAATCGCTGTGTTGTTTGTCTTTCAAATACCAAGAGCGACACTAGACCAATCGTAATGCTCAGTGCTGCAATGTCTGCCTAAAAAGTCCCTGTACTTTGGGGCAGTACTATCCAAAGAGAAGGGACTTTTGTTTTTTGGGGGTTAAGATAATGCCTGGGACTTTATTTAGACCCTAGTCCCTGCGGTGTAAAAACACGGACTACCTCCAAAAGTTCCTCATCTATGGGGGAAAAGTTCCTGCAGTGGAAACGCAGCTTTTTTTTTCCCAAACAGAAGAGCAACACCCGGATGATTCCCCTACGAGTCTGACTTGATTTAATCACCTAAGAGTTAGGTTTTACATTCCTTATGTTCATGACACTTGTGGTTCATGTTATTTATCCTTCAGGTCAATTGGTGACATAAGTGTACCTCACCTCCCACTGTGTCTTGTCACTCCCACGGCATGATGAAGACCCTGTGTGGTCAAAGACTGCTCTGTGTTTTCTCTCGCTCTTGTTTTTGATTTTTAAATTGATATATGCCCTGATAAATTAAAACCATTTGAACTTACTCAATGTCTCTTAGCAAGTGTGCCTGAACATAGCCTGGTGGCATTCCTCCCTTAAAGACTAAGCTTTTCTTTGATTTGTTTGGATCAGTTATTGGACCATTAAATGAGTTCACCGCATTACAATTTTACAGTTGCAGCTGCTTACAGGACTGATTCACACTTTGAATAATAATAAATACCTGCAGACTTTGGCTGTATGGTAATCCCTGCACTCTGGTTCATAATGCACATTGTGACCCTGGTCTGCCCTCATTGTTACTGCAGAGCCTGTTTCTCCATGTTCACTAGAGGGGGCTATCCATGCATTTTTACCATAGCATTCACCCTACTGTACATGTTCTGTATACATTATAAAACCAAGACATCCATTAATAACATGGCCCTCGTTGATTAAGAGTTAAATAATCACCCTGTAAGCACCCCTAATGTATGCATTGTAGTAGTGAAATATGAATTAGCTTTGTAGATCATTCAGTACTTGTATTAGCAGACACTACACTCTGTCTGCAGTGATAATCACAGCTGTACAATAACATCACTTTTTATCATCTCTGTGTGACTGTGGGACCTCTCTCTCTCTGCTTCCATCCACAGTGCCAGGAGTTTAATGTGCTCCCTGGTTATAACGCCGGCTCTGCTGAATACACACTGACTCGAATGGCCTTAATCAAAAGACATACACAACTGCAGTGTATTTCAAACGGCCTGTTTGCACTCATGGACCTTTGCCGTTTGTTTGCATCGTCTCTAAAAGAACCATTTTAGCATTAATATAGAACACTAGTACACTTCCTTCTTCACTGTATTTTCATCCTGCTACAGTATACAAAGTTCATAATGATGTGCTATGTGAGAGATGGGGATTTCTGGCAAGTACACCCTAACCGCTAACCAGTACACAGCTCTTTTAATCAGGGCAGTACAGAGCTAAGCATTCAGTGTCTGGTTTACTTAACAACAGTCTTGTTGCCAAACACACACTTTATGAAGCGTGAAGGTGATCACTATTTTATAAACGCCAATAAAAAGGAACAAAGCCTGAAGGTTGTAAAAAAAAAGGCATAGAAACATCATTTTGCTGATGTGATAGTGGTTTGCGGGCTTTGTTTATGCTATTTATTTTTACTTTATTCTCTGTATTCTTTGACGTTACGCCGTAAAACTTGTTTGTGCAAACATAAACAAGGTAGCAAAAAAAAAACGTGAAATTTAGGGCCCGACCGATATATTTTTTGGGGGCCGATACCGTTATATTGGCAGATATCTTTCTTAGATCTATGAAATCTAAACAGGTAGATGTAGATTTACACATTTATTGCATTGATCTTTCGAATGCAGATATCAAACACTTATAGAAAATTAATTAATTGTAATGTATCATTCTTTTAGGATAGATGTGCCTAACTGACTGAAATATTTATTTTAATTAACCAAAAGAAACTGCAGGGATGCTCCATGCAGTTCACCAAAGTACCACTAGTTGCACTAGTAACCCAATGTAAGAAACACTAGCTCAAAGTATATAAGGGTTTCTTCAAAGTGTTGCCAAAATGTGAGCCAAACACCGAGATTTAAATCCTCCCTTCCATGATGTTAATGAATCACTCAAGTCCTTGGCTCAGGTGGAGGGATCTGTGTGTGCTTACTCGTGTGTGTGTGTGTGTGTGCGCGTGTGTGCGTGTGTGCGTGTGTGTTTGTGTGTGTTTGTGTGTGTGTGTGTGTGCGTGTGCAGGGCCACAGTTGATCAATTAAAAAAAAAAAAAACCTTGCTATCTGTTCTCTGCCAGTAAACAGACGGCTGCAACAAACAAAGAGAAGGGCTAACGTGATTTATTTTTGTGTGCATTATGCAGCCTGTCTCGTCTGTCAATATGGCTGTGTGTACTGTTGTGTGTTTGTTTGTGTGTGTGTGTCTGTGGATGTTCTTGTAAGCATATCAAGACGACTCCATTACCTTGCTGTAGTCGCCTCCTGAGGGGCCCTGGCAGAGGTTATTTGCGATTTGTATGTGAGCTATCACTTAAGCCGTTTAAAGTTGATAAAAGCGCGGGGCCTTAGGGATGTGACGCATAAAAATCATCTTACCCTCCAACGCAGCATCATCAAGGCTATAGTATATTGCCACAGAGACCGCTAATTACATTACTTATCACCCCCCCACCGTTATTCCCAGTGTTCTATTTTTATTTTTTCCAGACTGCGTTGTAGGTTTTAAGCTCAGATTTGAGTAATTAAGTGGTGTTTCCCTTTACATGATGTCTTCCCTTAAATAGGCATTTTTTTGAATGGATTCTGGTTGACGGATAACAAAGGGGGGATTCTGTTGTGTTTCCTTGAAAATAAATGGCTCTCCTTATATAGCCACTTTTTTCAATGAAGTCTGGTAGAGGAACAAAGGAGGCGGAGAGGACTAAGGGAGAGATGACAGTCGGTAAAAGCTGTGTCAAGGTTGGCTTTCCTTTAATAAATTGCTTCTCAGTGCCAATTTTTTTTTTTTTTGGGCGAGTCCGTTCTGCGGCATTGTGGGAGTTTAAGACACGTGCTAAGAGCTTATTTCTGCCCCTCGAGTGTCATGAGGAAGCTCAAGTCTTTCCTGTTTTGGCACAAGCAGCTTTTTTACTGACCTCTCTCTGAGTTTTTTTCTTTTCTTTCCCAGAGTGCTGTGGAGCACTTTCCCCCCCCCTTAGGATGTCGTTCTGACAAATTCAGCAGTTGCCCTCTCACTCTCGGCTTAACTCCCTCGGTGTTTGAGCCA